AAATCGACTGTTGCATTTTTGGGATTTTCACCTGAATGATGTCGTTGGGATAGTTTTTTCTACCTACCTATACATAACACAATATCTTAGTCGACAGGCAATATTCTCTGATGTAGGAATAGATTGAAAGAAAACTAAAGAGGAACAAACTAAAATATAACATTAGTCTATTAAGTTATTGATTATTGATTTGAGCAATGTTGTTATAGATACAGATTACTAGATTATTAAGTAAGTAGTATTGATCTGCTTTTTTCAGAGAAATAATCATAGATTCAAGTAAATGGGATCATTGAATATACACGTTGCTGAATATAAAAAACAAACAAACAAAATTTCCCATTAAATTTTCTAGTTAAACAAAGTGTAAACAAATTTCAGTGGAACAACAAATTACGTGCACACACACACACGCACACACCAACACGTTGAAACGATCCACATTCATGATCTGGTGAATATAAGTAGATAAGTTAAAAATCACGTCAATAAAATGACGATGACAACAACAACAACAACAATAACATTCAGAATGATTGATTATATGGAATGGAATAATCATATCGACAATCTATCCATAGATACACAGATTGACACGACTAGGGTATGTATATTTACACATACATATATACCTACCTATGCATATAAAGCCATCAGCTCTGAGTCTACATAACAGTAATTCACATAACCTGGTTTCAATAATAATAATGTTTCTTCCAACTCAATACTTCACAGATATTTTAAGAGAAAAGGTATCTAACGGAGTATTAATTTTAAAAAAATCATCCCATTTTAATTATTTGTGTTAACACAGATACTGACATGTATCAGTATGAATGTGCATGTACATATGTGTGTGTGTGCGTGTCATGAATGAGCTGATGGAAGAACTCAGATGAACAATAGATAATTAGAAATGAATGAATGAATTAGATAGAAATGAATGTGGGGGTGGGGGTAAATAATAATTTAATTAAAATTAAGAATACTACTAATATTATTGATACTACTGATACTACTAGTGTGGTGCGTGCTACCTATATTGATATAAGTAGTATATAACGTGAGTCAGGAATGTAATATCTGGTGGCAGAAGATGGGGAAGATCAAGAAATGAAAAGCAGGAATAGAAAGCAATTAGTATAGAAATGCAAGAACAATGAAGGTCGAGGCAATTATTGTAGTATGGTTTTTCTATTTTATCAAGTAACTCTGTAATGTCGTGCTAAATATGATTCCGTTGTCCTCACCTGTATTCTCCTTCACTACACTACCACTACTACTACTAAATAATAATATAATAATAATAATAATAATAAGTTAATTAATAGAGGACCAACATGTACTCGACAATGGTATACATACATATCTTTATTGAATTTGATTAAGTGACAGAATAAATGTCACTTATTGTTGTGATGAAATGTATGACCCAGAAAAGAAATGGACAATGAATTATTAGTGTAATTATGTAATTTATCAATGTTTACATGCATATCTACTTGACTAGTTAATAAGTTAACGAGATTTATTAGCTCAGTGAATAAAAGGTACTGGGTTCAAGTCCAAGAGACTAGAATGTTAGTACATCACAGACGAACGAGTCCTAAATAGGATGAAATGCGTATCCTAAACTTCACTACAAAACTCATAGCAAATTTACTAAAAATTACTACATAATATTAGTTGGAAAATTCTTTAGTAGATGTCAACATTTTCCATGATTAGTGAATAGGAACATGCATACCATTGATAGAAGCATCAGAGCTAACAAATGCCCAATTTTAATCGGTTAAATGAGTGAATGGGCACCTTCTGTGTGATCTGGAACGAGTCAAGATAACTCAGATTTAGTCACCGTTGCTTAACTGATTCGAGTGACCAACCTTATAATGTTCACTTTTTTAACAGCATTCGAAAGCACTTAGCAACACCTATGTCTTTGCCTTCATCCGATAAGACTTAACACACTAAATAATCGATTGTTCACGTATTTTGTCATTTTTTCATTTATTTCTTATCTCTTCCTAATAACTTTCATTATTATTATTATTATTATTATTATTATATTATTATTAATGGCTTTATTCAATATTATAGTTTTGGTACAATATAGAATTCTCATCACAGGTTATTTCAACAAATTTCTTATGCAAAAAAAACCGGTAACGAATACAAAAAAAAAGGTTTAAAAACAATAACCTGGAAAACTGTACAACTTTTAAAATTAGAGACATGGTTATGAATGTAGGTTATTGACTAGGTTAACTCTAAAAACCTGTTCGTCATCGAGTATATTTACTAGGTAAGGTATTATAGAACCTTTATACTTTTGCTTGCGTGCATGGATTTTAGTGTAATTACGTCTCGTTCTACCAGAAGATATACAAGGAGTAAGATAAGTGTGAAGGGGATATTTAGTATCTGATAAAATAACACCTGCCAGGAGTTTTCATGACTTTAGATTTCTATCCACCACCATATTAATTATGACCTTGAAGGATTCATCACACATCTTGCTAACTGCCTTCAGCACTCTCCGCAATACAGCAAAGTCTTTTCTCAAAAGCCTGGGAAAGAATAATGGAGAACAGTAAAGAATAATAGGTAATATGCAAGAATTGACAAATTGTAAGAGTAAATGACGAGTAATCCCAAGAGCATGCAAACTCTTTATGTAGTAAGTAAGACGGAAAACCTTCTTCGATAACAGTATTAGACCAAGAGAGATCAGAGGAAAAGGTAACACTAAAATAATTGACCTTTGACACTGTGTTTATCTAAGAGTCTCCAATGGTACAAGCATTATGGGATCTCAAAATGGTGTTTATATTCCGTTCATGTCTCACGCTAAAGTTAACAGCTTGATATTCAGACGGATTAAGTATGAGACCATTAACAACAGACCAACAATCAATACGAGGCAAAAACTCATTCATTTCTATGGAATGTAAAGAGAAAGAGATAGGCATACATACAGTGAGATCCTCCGCACATTTCACAAAGTGTTTTCTGTGGAAGATGGCAGATCATGCAGAAAAAGAGGGAAAAGAAGAGGTGAAAGAACAGTTTTTTATGGTACACCTTCATGAGACAGTAGAGACTCTGAACACTTTCCTCCAAACGCAGTGTACTGTTCCCTTCCAGAGAGGTAAGATCATAGCCAGTTGGTTATCCAGCTGTCAGTGTTGACGCTGATTAACTTATTAAGCAGAAGTATAGTCCAGAAAATTGCATCAAACATATTTCCAACCCTTTTCCAAGTTGAACACTATATTGTGATGCAAAACAGTAACGGCATCTACGGCGCTTTTATTGCATCTGTAAACAAACTGATACGGACCAGTGTGCTCTTTTATCGCATGAATATTTCCACTTTTTCTACAGTTCACTGAATCGCCTATTTTTCTTTCTCTAATCAATTAATTTTCATTTGATACCTGAAAAACGAAAAAATTATCAGTACATGGGTTGTGGAGATTATTAAGTTTTTGATTGAGATAATGAAGTGATTGATGTTAGACCACCGCTTAAAACCCGTAAGCACTGGACGGCCGTCTCGTCCTATTGTGGGACTCCTCAGCAGTGCGCATCTATGATCCCACTCGCAGGATTAATCGGTTTATGATCTAAATCAAAAACTTATTAATCTCCACAACCCCTACACTGATGATTCACATGTGATCACTAGTGACTAGCTTCGTGAGAAAATTCTCGGACTTCTAGTGAGAAGCTGTGACCAGAGGAGCTAATCCGTGTCGGGTAGAGACAGGTATCTACCTCAATACAATGGAAGATGATCTAGCAATTTCGTGGATTGATTGATGTTAGACACTAACACAATTGGATACCAGCTCAATGGTCCAGTAGGTTAAGCGTTCATGTGCGAGACTGAAGGCCATAGGTTCAAATCGTGGTTTCTCACTGCTGAGGAGTCCCACAATAGGACGAAACGGCCATCCAGTGCTTCCAGGTTTTCGATGGTGGTCTAACATCAGTCGGTTCATGATCTTTTGGGGACGTTAGATCACCAGAACTCATTTGGGAAAGGACCTAATTTTGTAATTTTATTTAGAAAATTCGAACGTCTTTGTTTTCACGTTAAAGGCGCTCTTGTCATCTTCATATCGTATTTCTTATTGGGAAATATCTTAAATGCTATTGGTCTGTTGCGTCTTTTAGTATGCTATTTGGTAACTCTCCCCAAGGACGGGTTTGTACCGTATATATATATACGTTTTGAATTGTGTTTGTTGTTATCGCTCGTTTCTGGCTGTTTTGTAGAATATACTTCTCCCATTCTAAGCTTGGACTTCTCCCTCTATTTGGCGGAGCTGGGATGACGTATCAATAGCTAACTTACTGGTCTTTGGTCACCAAGTCTTGTTTCTCATTCGCAGATTAAGTAAACTCGTAATCATTTCAACGCTAGCATGATCTCAATCAAAAAGAAAATTATTCGAAAAAATAATTAAAAAAATTTTTTTTTCTTTATTTTAAAAAGAAAACAATTGAGTAAATTAGATTATTTTTGATTGGTTAATTTTTTTTTTGGATTATTTAATTATGATCATACTTATTTATGAGTAATGCAACCAATCACAGTCAGGCAGATTTTTTTTTGTTTTTTCATCTTAAATTTGATTGGTTATTTAGTTACCTGGTTAAGTTTACCTATTTTCCTACCTATCTAATATGATTATTACTACATATATATATATATCAGTCCTATCTACTCAAATGTAAAGAATATATTACTGATAGATGTACATATGCTTTAATGTGTATGTATGTGTGTGGGTACGTGCCTATGTATGTATGTATGTATGTATCCAAGTATATAGGTATACATCTGTACACCTCATATATATATATTGATTGTATAGGCATTATTTCCTTAGTAGATTAGATATACTCATTCAATGAGGATAAACTATATTCATAGAATAATGATAAAAATAATCCTTTAAATGAATATACACATGAAATTCAATATAATAATGATTCAATGTATATTAATTTTATTTCACTTAGTAACCATATTCTATTATGTAACCTGTAATATCCCATATTCTAATCAATTATCTATGAAACCATCTAATCGTAATATAAATTCATTATATAAACAAACTAATCAAAATATTGAAAGTATATCTATGATTAATCAACCAAATAGACCATATATAAAAACTTATGATCCAGATCATAATGATCCAAATTATTTACCACCACCACCACCACCACAATCACCAACACCAACACCAACAACAACAATAATGCAAAATTTAATCAATAATACAGAACTAATCAATCAAAATAAAGAAAATCAATTTAAAGAAGAAATTTATACAAAAACATCTATGAGAGATCGTATAGTAAATTTAATTATGTCAAAATATCGAAGTTATGAACGTCCACCAGATGGTGGTAATGCAACTATAGTAACAGTTAATATGAAAGTATTAGCTATATTTTCAATTGATGTACGTACAATGGATTATTATATTGATTTATTATTAAGACAAGTATGGCGTGATCGTCGTTTATCATGGTATGATATACCAGAATTTTCAAAATTTAATGAACCATTAGTATCACCTAAATTAAAAGAACAATTATGGTTACCAGATTTATTTTTCGTAATGGTAAAGATGGTTATTTACATAAATTAACATTACCAAATTATTTATTACGTGTACATCCAAATGGTAATGTATTATATAGTCAAAAAATAACAATGAGATTTTCATGTCAAATGCATTTACAAACATTTCCAATGGATAATCAACATTGTCATATTAATATTGGTAGTTATGGTTATACATTAAATGAATTAAAATTTGTATGGAATCATGATAAACCAGTTGAATTAGCTGAAAAATTACAATTATCTGAATTTGAAACACCAAAACAATTTATTACAAATGATTGTTCATCTGGTTATTCTACATCAACTGGACAATATACATGTTTAAATGCAACATTTGAATTACAAAGACAATTAGGTAGTTATTTAGCAACAACATATATACCAAATGTATTAATTATTATGGTATCATGGTTAAGTTTTTGGGTGAATGTTGATTCAGCACCAGCACGTGTACCATTAGGTTTATTAAGTTTACTTGGTATATTAACACAAGCTATAAGTGTATCATCAACATTACCACGTGTATCATATATTAAAGCAATAGATATATGGATGATATTTTCTATTATATTTGTTATTGGTGTATTAGTTGAATATGCTATAGCATTAACTATATTAAGACGTAAACAATCTGAAACATGGCATGAAGATGTTAAAGAGATAGTACGTGAAGAATTAGCTAGATGGTGTGCTATATGTCAACAACAACAATTAATACAATTACAAAATACAAATCAATTAATTAAAGGACAATTAGAATTTCGTGAAGAATTAGAACATTTATTAACTAATCAATTTATTGATGATTATAAAGATAAAACGAAACCAAAACGACCACCTGGTTTAATTGAATCAGAAATTGATACATATAGTAGATTTTTATTTCCAGCATGTTTTGTATTATATAATTGTTTTTATTGGTGTTATTTTTTAATTATTGTTAATCAAATTTAATCATGATCAATTATTGATTGTTTATCGATTAATCGATCGATCGATCGATCGACCAATCAATCAATCGATTCCTTCTTATGTTTGTTCTTGATATCTGAAACTTTTCACCTCTTATAGAGTTTCTCAATCAAATATAATGAAGTTGATATAATGATCAATTATTAATGCATTTGTAATGATCTTATTCATGCAAAAATCGATAACTCACTCATCATTTTTTATCAATCGATCGATCGATCAATCTCTTCTTATCTTCTTTCTTGAATTATGTTACTACTCATGATTGATCAAAATCAATCATTTATTCTTAATTGATCGATCAATCAATCAATTCCTTGTCATGTTCTTTCTTCATATATGTTGCTATTGAGATACTTCAAACTTTTCACCGCTTATAAAGTTTCTCAATCAAATATAATGAAGTTGATATAATGATCAATTAATAATGCATTTGTAATGATCTTATGCATGCAAAAATCGATCAATTATTCATTTTATATCAATCGATCGATCGATCGATCAATTAATCAATCCATCCCCCGTTATCTTCTTTCTTATTTTGAAACATCTTGTTGTTATGATTATAATGTGTGTGTGTTTTTTGTTTTGTTTTTCTAAATGGAAACAATTCTGTTGTTAATCAAATTTAATCAAGATTAATCACTGATTGTTAATCGATTAATCGATCAATCAATCAATCAATTCCTTCTTATGTTCTTTCTTCATATATGTTGCTATTGATATGCTTGAAACTTTTCACCTCTAATAGAGTTTAACAATCAAATATAATGAATTTGATGTTATTAATGCATTTGTAATGATCTTATGCATTCAGAAATCGATTACTTATTCATTCTTTCTTAATCGATCGATCAATCTCGTCTTATCTTCTTTCTCGATAAATGTTACTACTCAGATACGTAAAATTTTCTACCTTTGTAACAGTTTCTCAATCAAATATAATGAAGTTGATGTTATCATCCATTATTAATGTATTTGACGTTATCTTAATCATACAAAAATCGATCACTTATTCATTCTGTATCAATCGATCGATCGATCGATCAATCCCTTCTTATCTTCTTTCTTGAATTATGTTACTACTCATGAATAATCAAGATCAATCATTTATTCTTAATTAATTGATCGATCAATTAAACCAATTTTATCCGTATCTTTATTCTTGAAATATGTTGTTCCTCGGATACTTGAAACTTTTCACCTCTTATAGAGTTTCTCAATCAAATATAATAAAGTTGATGTTATGATCAATTATTAATGTATTTGTAATGCAAAAATCGATTATTTATTCATTCTTTATCAATCGATCGATCAATTAATCAATCTATCCCCCCGTTATCTTCTTTTTTACTTTAAAACATCTTGTTGTTATGGTTATTGTTGTTGTGTTTTTTTTGTTTTTCTAAATGGAAACAATTCTGTTGTTTAGCTTTTAGATGAATTATACAATTTGAATAGAATTCATTGAATGACTATCATGATCATGATCATCATTATCATCACCATCATCTATTACATAATCAATAATATACTATAAGAGTACAAATGTATTTGAATTAGTTTTCAAATTAAAACAAATGCATTAAACATTAATTTGTATACTTGAATATGATCATCTTTATATGTAACTTCATTGGGAAGATTACCATTAGTACCATTAGTACCATGAGCACCATTATTGTTACTAGTACTACCAATAAAACCTTACTCAACTAAATAAACAAACATGGATGTATTTAGTAAACATTAATTGAATGATATTTAATAGTTCATATCAACCCCTTTCATTGATGTCATTCAATAAAGTATTATTATCATTCATCATTATAACTTGATTCAATGTTCATTTTTTTGTTTTTTGTTTTGTTTTACTGTAAAGAAATGTTATCTATTGTATACAAAATTGTTATGTTGAATGAGTTACAGTAGAATCAGAGAGAGAGGGGGGTGTATTTTGTAAATATTATAGTGTAGGGCCAGCGAAATGTCACTAAGCCCTAGTCAAATCATCCGGTAGTGGGGTCATTGGTTATCGAGTAAATCATCAATCCTCGTCAAGGTCAGGGACAACCAACGCGCATCAGTTAATCGTATGCCATGGACTGGCCCATGCGGCAGTGGTCTTACTTTTGCTTGTATCTACTTTAACTAGTATATTTCTGTAATAACGTCCTCTGTGTTGTACAGACTTCAAAGCAGCTATGATACCTTGATACGGCAATGGGGTAGTTCACGTAAGGTGCTGACCATGAGGTGTGACTTCGATGTTAGCTAGTTTGTCACACCATTCACGTCTAACTCGAATAGGCCTCTAATCATTACGACATGGATCATCTACGTTGATGATCTACAATAGTAATTTAATAGTTGAATTCATGAATCAATTATTGTTAGACCATCATGGACACAAAAGGAATTTGATAAAGATCTTGATTCATCATGTTAGAATGATTTGTTCAGATGACATTATTGTAAATGAATTGGTTAATATTCATAACTTACTTAAGTAAGAATGGGTACCCAATAAAATTGATCAACAAACATAAGAAGGAGATGAAAAGAAGGACAAAAATCACAATTGATTGATCACTGGGTGGTGATCAATGCCATGCTTGTCTAGTCCTTATTAGTGCAGATCGAATGATATCAACAAAGATATTTACCGTTTCGAAGAAAGTATTGTTCATAAAATTACAATTCGTAAATGACACTACTGAAGAAATTGTGACTGAGAGACTAAGAAAAACGGTACAAAAAACATTTAATGCAGCTAGACTAAGTGCTATCTTCTGCCAATACTCCACAATAAGAATGACCAATAAAGACAGATTGCCTGAATTCGCCAAATTCATATGTATTTATCGATTGAACTGCTCCTGTAGAGCCAGTTATATAGGGCGTACAATTCAACAAGTTCGTCATTGTATAACAGTGTACCATCCGTCGTGGTTGAGCAAAGAACAAGTAAGTGATCGAAATTGTTATGTTGAGTTAGTGACAGTAGAATCAGAGAGGGTGTGTTTTTTTTAATAAATATTATAGTAATTTAATAGCTGAATTCATGAATCGATTGTTGTTAGACCACCGTGGAAAGTCTGGAAGCATTGGACGGCTGTTTCGTTCTAATATGACACTGCCTTACCAGTGCATATCCATGATTAGTGAGATTGACACCGTTGGATGTCGGTTAGCTGATTGGTCTAGAGGTTAAGCTCTATGATGGAGGATTAGTAGGTCCTGAGTTCGAATCACACGATGCGGGATCGTGAGTGCGCGCTGCTGAGGAATCTCATACTAACGGACGAAACAGCCCGTCCAGTGTTTCCAGGTCTCCCATAGTGACCTAGCTTGAATTAACTCATGAGTTCAATTAGTAAGTTATAGTATAGTTTATTATTATGGATTATAATAATATGTTATTTCTTTATAGAAGTTTGTTTAAACTAAGAGTATCCATACACACACAGAGATATCTATAGAAGGTTATTAGATTTATCTTGAATAGATGAATATTGATTCGTGAATAATTTTTTTAAATGCTGAGACTATAATTTAGGGATGACCTTTGAATGACTCTAGAATGACCTTAAGAATGTCCATTTACTTACTAGGAAGGTTATAAAGCAGTTTGAAGAATAAGGATCATCATCAACAGTTGATGATTAGGGCTAAGAATTACAATCACGGTTTTTCACCACGAACTGACATCAGCTAAACTGCCAAGATGCTATTTAGCCAAATGGATGAATAAAATTTCGCGCCCAAATCCAAAACCTATTATCTTATATCTGATTGGTTAGTCCATAAATTGTAATCTTGCCGAGGGACGAATAAATGAGAATTAAGAAAGGCTTCCAACATAAAATGAGTTAGAAAAATATTATTGTACAATGCTTAGAACATCTCCATAAATCCCTTCTGATAATAACCATCTGCTCACTAGTGACTGACTTCAAGAGATACTCATGGAGTTCTAGTGAGAAGCCGTTACCAGTGTGGTTCAACCAGGTCTGTTGTGAGATATCAACTCACTGAAGACAATGGTGTACGGTGGCGCAACTTCGTGGATTGGTTGAAGCTAGACATTAACACCGTCGGATGCCGACCGGCTCAGTGGTCTAATGGTTAAGTGCTAATGCGCGAAACCAGCAGGTCTTGGGTTCGAATCTCGCGGGGTGCGGGGTCATTGATACGCACCGCTGAGGAGTCTCGCACTAGGATGGAACGGCCGTCCAGTGCTTCTAGGTTTTCCATGGTGGTCTAGCTTCAATTGACTCATGATTTCATTCCATGAAATTTCTAAAAATCTCCACAAATCCATTCTGAAAATATATCTTTTTTAAAAATTCACTTGGTAATGTTTGTTTAAAGCGAACGGTACTGCTTTCGAGTCTTAGAGTGAAAATCAGTTCTGCGATGCATGTACATTAGGCTGATGACTTTCAAATAGGACGAAACACGCGTCCTAGATTCCGTTGCTAGTCATCACCCAATATTTTTTGTTATTATACAGTAAAACTGATAGTGTCAAATGTGCTAAGTGCTTACTTTCTAATATATAGATTTCACATAACATGTAAATCAATCAAATTTCATTTCAATCCACATCGTTTACAGCAAATCCGCAAAAGCAACCATTTTATTAATGGTCCACTAAACAATAAGTAAGCTGGTGAAGTACGGAATGGTGAAAAAAGGATAACAGATTTCACATACGATCACTTCATATCAATAAAACACCAACAATAGTTCTTCCATAATTTCATCCTGTCAGATATTCAGTAATGATGGATTTGAAAGAAGAAGAAGGCCTGGAATCACTGGACGACCGCTAAGCTCTCGTATGGGACTCCTTAGCGATGTGCATCCATGACCCCGCGCAGGGGACTCGAACCCGGGACCTCCGACCTCGCACGCGAATGTCTAACATCTAGACCACTGAGCCAACACCCATCGGTGTTAATGTTTAATTTCAACCA